GGCGTGCCAGCCGAGGCAGTGCTAGGGGGGAGGAGGGAGGCAGACGTCGGTCAGCCCCTTCGAAGGGCTGTAAACAAAGAGAGACAAGATCAAAAACCATTTGTACAAGCCCTTGGTTGTTTGGTTTTTGATCTTGTTCTTCTTTGTTTTCATCCCTTCGACCGACCGTCTGCCTCCCTCCTCCCTCCTAGTACTGCCTCGGCTGCCACGCCGGCCAGCCGGCGGACTATGAAAGCAGCTTATGATGCCAATAGTCGTGATGGTAGACTTGTCCAAAGGCTACCGTACCCAGTGATCTGAATAAACAAAGAAAAGGATAAATAAATAAACAAGGCCTGAGTAAGGCAGTGTCTCGTAAATTTCGACGGTTCGCCTTTGCCCTTTCTTCAGTAGTGAACAACCAGCCACGCCCCTCTGTTGCTGCATCCAAATTTTTCTATAACCTGAAAATATTGAGTTGATGTTTTGCAATTTTCAGGTAAAAAACACTAAAACAAAAGAAGAATTGGAAGAAAAGGGAATGTTTTATCATAAATCGGTAAAAGCATTCAACGATCAGGTAACTAGTCAAACCCATAACCACGTGGTATCATACGAGTCATTTATCCTTCAATTTAGGCCTCCAAAATCCAAGTGGTAATCGATGAATTACCAATGACTATTTTCACTAATCAAAGAGAGATAGTAAAGGTACACTTACTTTCACCAATCGATACTCTTGAGCGTTCTAATCAGACTTTTCTGAAGAAGAATCTGGTTTCAGTTCTTTGCTCAACGGGAGAAATTCCATACAAGTGCATCGGACATTATGAAGGATGCATTAAAACATTTACCAAAAAAATAGCATTGTAATTTTGGAAAATATTGACATTAATCTGAGCGCACTATTAAAACAATTTAAGAATCGTATGACTGCTATTCAATCAATAAATAATTTCATAATAAGATGTTTCCACGGCGTATCCTCGTTTTCAATTCAACCCTAGGAGCTGCAACGAGTCGAGGTGGCTCATGTTTTGCTTTCCGACGCCCGAGCTAGCCAACTCGGATTACATCCCTTACAGGTTACTGAGCCCCTTACATCCTTCAGGAGCGAAGTGGAAGACCTGAAAGCTGAGTGAATTGGCCCTATAGGGTGATCAGGGCCTCCATCACAATCGTAGACAAGGCACACCGAAAGCGCCTCACCATCAGAGCTGCTCTCAACCGTCTCTTTACGCTTCTTTGGGAAACTTTGATTGCTAACGGACTTCACCCTCTCCTACCATATAGTGTGTTCTCCTTGTCCTTCCCTGTTGCCTGCTGGTCCTATAGAATCAGGTTTGGATGATGATTTGGATAGAAGCGGTCCTTTTTGTTCTTTTCAAAATAGGCAACCTGTCGCGCGAACCTCTCAATCAGTATTAAAACTCGAAATTTATGAATTTATGTACTTGATATGTTGGTAAGTCTGAAAATGCCTACCACTTGATCTTCAGATCGATCCAGAGGCGCGTGCACAATCGATTGTTTTGATCTATGGCTTCGATGCCTTGCAGAAAAGAGCAATCGCCGAATCCGAAACGAGGGATCGGCAAAAAAATCAGAGAAAAAACGTTGTGAAAGATTCCCATACAATTTAGAGATATTTGTAAAGAATTACTCACTCTGATTTCAAATTCGAAGTCCTCCTTTCGTAAAATTCAGTTTGAAAGGAAATTTTTAATTTTTACCACAGCAAATTAGCTGCTCGAAAAAAAACCTCATTTTTGGAGTCAGAGTAGGAAGTCCTCTTCATCCGTAGGAATTATTGTTAAACTTCAGAAATGAATTTGCCCCTGATCTTCAGATTGCCAACCGGTGCGTGCAGGATCTCCTTTTTCGTGCCTAAGGATTGGAAAAATCGCCGAGTCGAAGTCGAGGGGTAGGCAAAAACATCTGAAAATAATTTTGTACTATGTCTTCTCACATTTTACATATGGGTGAGTACAGTTTCACATGCAGATTCCAAATTTGTAGTTCTCATTTTATAATTATTTATTTGAAGGGGTTTTCTCACTCCCTTCTGGTTTGAACAACAAACTTCGTACTTGGAATCACTGTCAAAAAGTTGCATAATAAAGAACCAAAAAGCGAAAAAAAGATGGGTATAAGAGCAAAATCATTAG